TGTGTGTAAACTTAACATTCCACGGGCAGTGAATGGGGTAGTTTTTATAACAGATAAACAAATTCTGGTGAAATACAAAGCATAAACCAATGGCAATTTAGAAATATAATCATGCATTTAACATGTCTTAGACATTTTGAATGGTCTACCTTCTATGTCCATGTTTTTAAAATAACTTTATTGAAGCTTATGCTGCACATCATACAATTTAAGTGTACAATTCAGTATTTCCAGTAAATTTACCAAGTTGTATAACCATCTCCATAAATCAGTTTTAAAATGTTTTCCTCATTCTAATAAGATCTATCACGCACATCAAGTCCCCTCTCCCACCCCAGGCAACCACTAACCTCCTCTCTGTCTCTATGGCCTTGCCTTTTCTGGGTATTTCCGATACACAGACTCATACGATACGAGGTCTCTTGGGCCTGCCTTCTTTCACGGGGCATAGTGTTTCTGATGTTCATCCATGCCGTTGGATGTATTTCCCTGTGTTTTTTCCTTTTTTAAAAGATTTTATTTATTTATTTTTAGAGAGGGAAGGGAGGGAGATAGAGACAGAGAGAGAAACATCAATGTGCGGTTGCTGGGGGTCATGGCCTGCAACCCAGGCATGTGCCCTGACTGGGAATCGAACCTGCGACATTTTGGTTCACAGCCCATGCTCAATCCACTGAGCTCTGCCAGCCAGGGCTGTTTTTTCCTTTTAATTGTATTCCATTGTATAGACATACCACCTTTTTTCTATCCATTCTCCAGTTGGTAGACTTCAGGATGTTTCCAATTTTGTTTCCATCTTGGTTATTATAATATTGCTAAAACATTTGTGTGCAAATTCTTAACATGGTATATGTTTTCATTTACCTTGGGTAGGTACCAAAGAGTGAAATTGCTAGGTCATGGTAAATGTATGTTTAATCTTTTGAGAAACTGCCAGTTTTCCAAAGAGATTGTACCATTTTTTTTTATTCCTACCAGCAATATACAAGGCTTCCAGTTTTTCCACAACCTTGCCAACATTTGTTGTCTGTTTTTTTTAATATAGCCATTTTAAGTTTCTTTTTCAAGATTACATTTACTTGTTTTTAGAGAGGGAAAGGGTGGGGAGGAAAGAGAGGGAGAGAAACACTGATGCACCCTGACCAGGGACAGACCAGGGACCAAACCCACATACCAGGCATGAGCCCTGACCAGGAACCAAACCAGTGACCCTTTGCCTTGTGGGACAATGACCAACCAACTGAGCCGTACCAGTCAGGGCTTAATTATAGCCATTTTAATGGTATCTTGTTGTGGTTTTGATTTCCATGTCCCTAACCACTAATGATATTAAGCATCTTTTCACTTGCTTAAGAACTATTTTTATATCTTTTAGGTGAAATATCTACTTTTTTGCTCATTTTTGATTGGGTTGTTTGTTTTCTTAGTATGGAGGTATACAAGTTCTGAATGTTCTCTTCTGGATGTACATGCAGGTGGTCAGTAGAATTGTCAAACACAGCTTTACTCTGGTCTTGGATCTTGCTCGCAGAATGATAAGCTATCCTTGGCATCTTTGGGACTGGTAGTCTAGTTTTTCCCATTAGCTTTGATAATGTGCTCTAAAGGCCTACATTTTTAAAAAAATATTTTATTTATTTATTTTTAGAGACAGGGGCGAGGAGGAAGAGAGGGAAACATGGGTGTGTGGTTGCTTCTCGCACGCCCCCTACTGGGCACCTGGCCCACAACCCAGGCGTGTGACCTGACTGGGAATTGAATTGGTGATTCTTCGGTTCACAGGCCAGCACTCAGTCCGCTGAGCCACACCAGCCAGGGCAAAGGCCTAAATTTTTATTGAGTATATGGTGTGTATAATATTCAAATTTACAAAATTGATTAACACTGTATCAGTTTCCTATGGCTGCTGTAACAAATTACCACAAATTTAGTGTCTTAAAACAACAGAAATTTCTTTTCTGACAGTCACAGAGGAGGCCAAAATTCCAGAAATCTGAGTCCAGAGTCTTGTCTTACAGAACTGAAATCCGGGTGTCAGCAGGGCTGGCTCCTTCTGGAGGCTCCAGGGAAGAACATTCTGCTTGTTTCTTCTAGCTCCTGGTGGTTGCCCACATCAGTCATTCCCATCTCGGCTTCCACAGTCGAATGCCTTCTCCCCTTATTTTGTCACATTTCAATCTGTGTTCTTATCAGGACCTTTACAATCACATTTACGCTCTGCCCAGATAATCCAGGATAACTGCCCCATCTCACTGTCCATACCCTCAGTCACGCCTGCAAAGTTCCTTCTGCCACCTAAGGTAACATTCACAGGTTCCAGGTAACTAGGAGCTGCATATCTTTGGACACCCTTGTTCAGCCTGCCACACTGTCCAAAACATAATATAATGTGAGCCACAAATACAAGCCACATATGTAATTTAAAAATTTTTAGTAGCTACATTTTTTTTTTTAGATTTTATTTATTTATTTTTTAGAGAGGGAAGGGAGAGAGAGAGAGAGAGAGAGAGAGAACATCAATGTGCGGTTGCTGGGGGTTATGGCCTGCAACCCAGGAATGTACCCTGGCTGGGAATCGAACCTGGGACACTTTGGTTCCCAGCCCGCGCTCCATCCACTGAGCTACGCCAGCCAGGGCTAAAGATTTTATTTATTTATTTATTTATTTATTTTAGAGAGGGAAGGGAGGGAGATAGAGAGAGAGAAACATCAATGTGTGGTTGCTGGGGGTCATGGCCTGCAACCCAGGTATGTGGCCTGACTGGGAATCGAACCTGCGACACTTTGGTTCGCAGCCCACGCTCAATCCACTGAGCTATGCCAGCCAGGGCTTAGTAGCTACATTTTTAAAACCGTAAAATGAGACAGGTGAGATTAATTTTAATAATAAATTCCATTTAGCTCAATACACATAAACTATCATATCAACATGTAATCAACACAAAATTATTAATAAGGTAGCTTGCTTTTTTTTCATCTAAGTCTTCAAAATCTGGCATTTTTTACACTCACAGCACACTGCAATTCAGACAAGCCACATTCCAATGCTAGATACTCATATGTGCCTGGTGACAACACGGCCAACTACTAAACTGGGAAGTCACTGGAACAACTATGCAGAAAAGGATGGCAACGACATGGATTTTCTATTTTTAATACCTACATAAAAAATTTGTACAAACTGTTCCTAACGTTTGTGTCTGATCATTAAATGCTCCTGAAAAGGACTTGCTCTATAGATATAAAATTCTGATATAAAGCTATAGTATTGTGCGAGGATGAACAAATAATATAACAGAGGATCCGGAAATAAAACCATGCAAATACGGACACTTCATTTGTACCAGAGGCCCCCCTGCAGAGCAATGAAGAAAAGACAGTCCTTTCAACAACGGCTGCTGGCAGAACTGAAACATGACCCCTACCTCCCAGCGTAAATAAAAATCAGCTCCAGGTGCACACTAGTCTTAGTGAGATTGGTAAAACCAACACTTTTCAGAAGATGAAATGAAGAAGATCTTTGCGACCTGGGTGTAGATTTTTTAAAACAGAAAAAGCGTGAAACATAATAACTACATTAAATTTAAGAAGATCTTTTCCCAAAGACACTATCAAGGGAGTGAACAGGTAAACCACAGAGTGGGTAAGATATTTTCAACATATTAGTGCCAAAGAATTCATATCCAGAATAAAGAATTACAAGTTAATGAGGAAAAGTCTAATATAAAAATATGCAAGAGACCTGAGCAGGTATCTCTCAGAAGATGTCCAAATGGCCAAGGAACATATAAAAAGGTGCTGAATCTCATCTATCGCCACGGAAATGCAACTAAAACCCACAGAGATATCAACACAAATTCACCAGAATGCCTGAACAGACAGACATACCACGTGAAGAGCTGATGAGGACTGGAACAAGGAACTCATACCCTTGGTAAGTACACTCACTTTGTACTTCAGTCTGTACAACCACTTTGGCCTATCTAGTTGAAGAGATTCTATGACCAGCAATTCAATTTCTAGCTGTATGCTCAATAAAAATGCATGTAATATGTACTGTTTTTATATTACCATATTTGAAACAGCCGAAAAGTGGGAAAAAAACAATATCCATCAACATTAGAATGGATAAATTGTGGTATATTTCTGAAATGGAATTCTATAGGAAAATGAAGGAACTATGGGTATATGGAATAACATGAATGCATGCTTTAAAAGCCAGATACATAAACAATGCATTGTCTGATTCCATTTGTATAACATTCAAAAGTGGGCAAAATTAAATGCTAGTTATTCATAATAGCCCAAAGATGGAAACATCCTAAGTATCCCTCAGCAGATAAGTGGATACACAAATTGGTCTACCCATACAACGGAATATTATTCGGCCATAAGAAGGAAGAAGTTCTGACACATGTGACAATGTGGATGAACCTTGAAAACATTGTGCTAAGTGAAATAAGCAAGGCCCAGAAGTACCTACAAATACTGAAGGTACTTACACAAGGTTTCTAGAATAGCAAATTCATACAGGCAGAAAATGGATTAGAAGTTACCAGGGGCTGGTAGAAGGTGAGAACGGAGATTTTTACTTCATGGTTATAGAGTTTCATTTTTGGGTGATGAAAAAGTTTGGGAATATATAGTTACAGTGGCTGTACAACATTCAGAATGTAATTAATGCCACTCAATTGTATACTTAAAAATGGTTAAAATGGCAAATTTTATGTTGTATATTTTTTACTACAATCTCCAAAAATTAATAATGTAACATACCCCAAACCATTGAATTGTACACTTCGAATTGGTGAATGTGGATTATCTCAATAAAGCTTCTTCTGAGAAAACCTAAATGACTCTTTTTAGGATTTATTTTTGGGTGGTAAAACTATAAAGACAAAGCGAATAAGTGATCCCCATGAGTATCAGGAGAGCAAGATACTGGTGACTTCACAGGGGTGGGAGGAGTCTGTGCCCAGAAAGCGGCATTATGGGGGCTCTGGGTGCTGGCAATGTCCTTTCCTTGACCTGGGGGGTTGTTGAGGGAGTTCCAGTTAATAATAATCCACTGAACTATACACTGATGTTTAGCACACTTGAAAAATGTGTGCTATTTTTCACAATGCTTTATTTTTAATTGAAAATTCAGCAAGAACAAAGTATTGGGGTGTTGAGGAGGGTGGCTTGTCGGGTAGCCAAGAAGTGCCTGCCACAGGGGACAGAGCTTACCCAGTCGGGCAGAAGCGGAAGAGATTTCTATCCGGAGACAGCAGCAGGTCACAGTCGCAGGCGTTCAGGAGAATGTGGTGAACCCGAGGAGCTGGAAGGTGACCAGCCCCGTTTTGCAGGGGCTTAGAGAGCAAGTGGAAAGAGGTATGTGAGTCTGAGGACTGGGCAGAGGCCAGCTGGTGGACAGCTGGGCAGCCATATGAGTGTTTCAGACGTTGTCCTGAAGGAACAGTGCAACGTCATTGAGGGATTTTAAAGCAGTGAAGTGACCCGATTGGATCAGTTGGCTCATTCTGCCTGGAACATGGGGAATAGATTAGACACAGTCAGGAGGAGGAGCCAGGAGGCCACTTAAGAAGCCATTTCAGTAATTCTGAGCGTCGGTGGAAGCTTGGACTAGGGTGGAGGCAGTGGAGAGTGAGGAATACAGTGTCTTTGTGCCCTGTTCAACTATATGCAGCATTAATTTCTTTTGTAAGTAGTTAGAAATACTTTGTTATATTGTGTACCGTTATATACTGAATCTTACCATGTACAGTACATGCTTATATACCCATACTTACTCGCACATACATTTTGTGTACAGAGTGATGCACACAATATCAGGTTTACTGTATTCTATGAATAATTTAAGGGATTCCTGAAGGTCCTGTTGATTTGACTATGTAACTTCTGCCTTACACACTGATTTTAGAACCTAACCTTGGTGTAAGGAGCAACTCCATTGTTGAAGGACTTGAGATATTTAGGAGATTGGGTGGGTGATTGGAATAGGAGGGAGAGGGATTAATTAAAGAATAATATTCTCGCCCTGGCTGATGTAGCTCAGTGGATTGAGTGCAGGCTACAAATCAAAAGGTTGCCAGTTTGATTCCCAGTCAGGGCACATGCCTGGGTTGTGAGCCAGGTCCCCTGTGGGGGCCATGTGAAAGGCAACCACACATTGATGTTTCTCTCCTTTCTCTTTCTCCTTCCCTTCCTCTTTCTCTAAAAAAATTTAATAATAGTAATAATTATAATATTCTCAAGTCTCTTTCCTAAACAACTGATTAGATGGTGGTTCTATTTATTGAGATGGGGCCTGCCAGGGGAGGAACAGTTGGAGGATAGAGATGATGAGCTCCTTTTTCTTGGTATTTTATGAAAATTTTCAAAAATTTAGAAAAGTTGAGAGATTGTACAGCAAACACCCTATAACCACCACCTAGGTTCTATAATTCACGTACTGCTCTATTTTCTTTTTCACATCATCCCAGGTACCCCAAGGAGTTCGTTTCTGAGCAAGCCAAACTTATGGCACCTAAGAGACTTCCAAAGGTCCTAACAGGCCACTGGTCTCAAGTGCAGAAGCACATTCGGAGTAGGTGACCCTCGCTGCCTGCCCTTCTTTGCCTCCCATTCGCATAAATTCCCTGCACTTTGGCTCTGACATTTTCCTCCTGAAGGCACTTTCACTAAGGACACCAACAACTGAGGACTCCAAAATTGAACTCATTATCCCCCTCCTGTATATCCTGTCCTACAGTTATCCAGACCTCCAACATGGGAGTCATCCTGGACATACGCAGCAAACAGGGTGAATCAATCCCATTTCCTAAATATCTTTAAAAGATGTTCCACCCACCCACCCAATTTTCATTCCCTGTATCATTAACAGAGTTCTGGATCTCAGAGTTCCTCAGTGTTATTGATATTGAAAAATTACAATTTCAACCTCCGATCTGGTCCCTGTCTCTACCCTCTCTCCAGCTCATCTATTGCTATCCACCTGTCTGTCCATTTATCTTAAAAAAAAAAATCGGTGAATGAACAGTTGCATACAATTACAGATGAATCACAAAACCATAATGAGCAAAAGAAGCCAAACACAAAGGAGCACATACTTTGCCCTGACTGGTGTGGCTCAGTGGATTGAGTGCCTACAAACCAAAGGGTGGCCGTGAGTTCAATTCCCAGTCAGGTCATGTGCCCTCAGGCCAGGCCCCCAGTTGGGGGCGCATAAGCAACCACACACTGATATTTCTCTACCTCTCTTTCTTCCTCCCTTCCCCTGTGTCTAAAAAATAAATAAGTAAAATCTTTAAAAGAAGAGATTTTTAAAAATCTTTTCACATCAATTTTCTTATTTTTTTTTTTTGTAATTTACTTATTTTATAGAGAGAAGAAGGGAGCGGAACATCGATCTGATGCTCCACTTATTTATGAATCATTGGTGGATTCTTATTTGTGCCCCGACCTGGGATGGAACTCATAACACTGGTGTATGGAGCGGTGCTCTAACCAATTACTCAGCCAGAGAATTTGTTCATGTAACTTTTCTTTTGCAATCCTTCACAGGAGCTTCTTGCCAGGTCAGTATGACTTCTAATCCTTCAAGGTCTTCCAGAAAGCATGACTAAGTCTAAATTTCTAACCTTCTGTCTAGCTACCCCTTCACTCCGTTTTTACTATTTAGTGGCTCTTCAAATATACCAGCCACACTTTCTGCCTTATGGCCTTCTCCAAGATCTCCCTGAAAGCCAGGCTCGGATTCAAGTCTCCACAGAGCTAATGATCCCTGAGAATTTTAACCAGAATACTTAGCACTTTGCCTAATAAAAAACGGACACTCTATTTTACTTTAGCTGAGCTTTGCATACACCCAGGGCTTTGTAAACCTCCCCTTTCCTTCCAGTAAAATCCAACTCAAGCTTGAGTTCCTCCAGGAGGCTTTCCAGGACCCTCTAAGTAGTCTGGTGCTCTGACTCCGTTATCCACCGCCCCTGGACCTCATAAATCATATTTTAATAGTTTATACAATTGCAGTAGATGTGAACACTTTCACCTTTTCTTGGAAACTAACAGCAATCCTATCCCTGCTTCCAGGCTCTATCCAAAGCCATCTCCTTCATTTAATAGTTCGCTGACCCCTAGTGAGAATGACTTCTTTTAACTCAGCTGATGATGCGTATACTTAATTAGCACTGATATTCTTTCACTACACTGCTTACTACTGCTTTCCGGTTCCCTTCCTCTCCTCTCCGGTAAACTGTAAACTCCGACAGGTTGGGACAGTGGCCCTACTCGTTTCGGACTCCCCGTCCAGCACTTGGAACTGCGTTTTGCAAATAAAGCATCACTCGCTGAGCGTGCGGCGGGTCCCCCCACCCGCCGGGGACCTGCCGCTCCCGAAGAGCTCGTAAGGACCTCGGCTAAGGACAAGCTAGTGGGTGGGTGGGTAGGGGAAGGAACTGGCCCGCCTCACCCTCTCTAGTCCCTGGGTCCTAGTGCCCATCGAAGGTACGCCGGACTTCCGCTCAGGCGCAGTGACGCTCTTCGAGAGCGAGAGCGTAACGAGCGACGAGCGCCGTTTGCCGGGTCGCCCTGGCGCTGGGTAGCCGGTGAAGGGGCGGGACCCACCGCAGTCCTTGCTCTCTCATTGGCTCCTGTGCTGACGGACTGGCGAAAGAGCCATAAGACATTGCTTGGTTAGAAACAGCCTTCCCGGCAAAATGTTAGTAAATAAACAAAAGGCTATGGGGGATGGGAGAGGGGAGCCGCTTTGTGGGCTTGAGAGCTGTTGGGGCTCCGCTTGTCTCTGACAGGGTCAGGTTGGCGGGGGCCTGGGCTCACCCACTTCCGCTGTAACTGGGGCCAGGGAAGTCCCGTTTCTTGGACTGTTGTCCTAGCAGCAGAGTCTCTATAAAGCCCAGTCTTAATTTTCAGCTCCGATTTCCAGGGGTCAGCCTAGAAGGGCTGGAGTCCCTCCAACCTGTGGTCCAGCTTAGGTCTGGCGGTTACAGCCTCCTCCCCTCCGCCTTGTCCAGGCACTCTCCGAATTGGCCTCCCATGTACCTGCCTGGCCAGCTGCCGACTAGACTTTGTAAAAGACACATCTGAACACATCCTCTGCCTGAAACCGCTGGTGCCCCTCGCGGGCAGAGGCGCCAAGATCCACTTTAATAACTGTGGGTGGATGAGCTGTTCCTGATGAGCTGCTTATCTCTGCAGCTACATCTCAGAGGATCACCGCTGGAGTGAAGCCCTTTCAGCCTCTGTGCTTCTGCAGGAGCTGTTGCCGCTGCCTGGGTGGTACCTGCCCCTTGCACCTTCTACTTCTCTCCTGGAGAAGCTCCGACCTCAACGTGAGGCCTTCCCCAGCGCTCCCCGACTGCCCCCAGCCCTAACTGCCACTTCTGGGCGCTCAGGATACAGGCACTTCCGTGGCAGCGCTGCACCCCACCACTTACCACACCTGCTAGGTCCCTGGAATGTGAGCAATCTGACAAGCACAGTGGACATTGATAGTTCAAATAGGTGGATTTTGAAATAACCAATGCATGGACTTCAAAGATCAAAAGTTAAGGTTAAAAAGTCAGCCCTGGTTGGTGCGGCTCAGTGGATTGAGCATGGGCCTGCAAACCAAAGGGTCCCTGGTTCGATTCCCAGTCAGGGCACCTGCCTGGGTTGTGGGCCAGGTTTGCCCGTGTGGGGCACTGGAGAGGTAACCACACATTAATGTTTCTCTCCCTCCCTTCTCTTCTGTCTAAAAATAAAATAATTAAAATCTAAAATAAAGAAAAAGAAAAAGAAAAAAAGATTAAAAAGTGTCAGTCATGGGCTGGACTGGTGAGGCTCAGTGGATTCCTGGTCAGGGCACATGCCTGGCACGAGAACCAGGTTTTCCTCACACATCGCTGTCTTGCCCCCTCTTTCTCCCTCCTTTTCTCTCTCTCTAAAAATAAACAAAGTCTTTAAAAAAAAAGATGTCAGGTAGTGCTGTGGCATTTGGGGGGCTCACCAAGGACATAAACCATGTCTTTTTTACTTCTGAATCCTGATAGCCAGCTGACAAGGTGACATTTCTTTAAAATATGTGAATAAATTCAAGATGACGAATAGTGAATTGAAGCCATTTATTTATGGTTCCATCACAGCCTGTGGAATGACTGCTCAGTCAGTAAGGGCAGGGCAGTGGGCCTCAGGGTCCAGTCACTGAAGAAAACCCCAGCAGGCTGGCTTAGGAGGGTGTGTTTGTATGTGAGACATTACAGACAATGAGCATGCCAAATCCCAGAGGTGTTTACTGTGTGTTCCAGGAGGGTGGGGTGGGGTTCCCCCAGTCTGATCCTCCAAAGCTCTGGGGTGACTCATTCTTCCTTGGGCTCAAGGGCTGGGACTGGTATTTGTTCCCTGAGTTGGGTTCTGCTTCCTCTGGCCCTTGTCATCCTCACTGTCTCCAGCCACTAGAGCCACATTCTTCAGATAATTAATGTTGAAGCAGTTGATCTGTTCATCCCCAGGACTCAGTTTACAGCAGAATGCAAGGTCTCGCCAGATGCTTCTCTGTTCACCACACAGGTCACTGATGTAGGCTGATTTCTGATGAGTGAGAAGAAAAGAGCAGAGACGGTGAGGGGGCGGGTTGTAAGAGGTCAGGCATGGGTACCTGGGCACGCAAAGTCCCCCTTCCCTCAACTGTTACTGCTCTCCTCCTGATCCCTTCCTGGGGTCCAGAGACAGTGCAAAGCTGCCTTGCACAGCTAGACTTCCTGTGATGGACAGATGTGCACATCTGGAAATGCTTGGAGCTTAATAGGAACTTGGCAGTGGGGAGCAGGTCAGGTCAGGAATGAGGACTTCGGGACCCAAGAAAAAAGACCTCCGCCCCTAGTCCTCATTATTTCTGTGGGCTGTGTTGATGTCCTAAAAGCATGGGCAGACTCCAGGTCTAGGCATCCCCTCCCCACCCCTCCCCTCCCTTCCCTCGGAAACTGTGACGGCCTGCACCACACTCACCTCCTCCTCGGCACAGCAGGCTTGCTCTGGAAGTGGCAGGTCACAGCAACGGGCAGTCATGTTCCGGATTAGCCCAGGAATCTGTTTACTGTGGTGGGAAAGAGACAGGGGTCAGGCTCTTTAGGAACCCCCAGGCAATAAAAATGGTGCTTGGAGACCATGATTATGTTCTCGCCAAGAGAACCCAGGAGGGTGCCCCAAAAGGAGGTTTTGGGGAAGGGGAGAGAGTTGGGAAGGAACTGTGCAAGACTTACTGCTTGGTGAGAACCCTTTGGTTTCCACAAAGATGGTCCATGAGGTTGGGGGTGACTCGGCTGAGGTCAATGGTCAAGAGATCCCGGTCATAGTTGGGGTAGGGAGCGCTGTCGGCAAAGCAGTTGTCGCGGTCGGGGCTGGGAGGGTGGTGGCAGCATGGGTGGGGGTGGGTCTTTATACCGTGTTCCTGCTCACAGTATCCATCAAGGGTCTCCTCCCACTGTGGGCCAGAAAGAGAGAAGTCAAAAGGCTGGACAGTGGCCCCTTTCCTCCTCACCTTCCGCTTCCCTTGTTGCCCCACACTATAAGGTGAGGGACTCCCAACCCCAAGTGCCACAGGGGAGGACAAAGAACCAGAGGGCAGGGAGGCGGCTCGGGATGTGTGGGTTTGGGAAGGCGGAGGGCGGAAGCACAGGTGAGGTCTGGAGCTGGCCACGGGAGACGAGCTGGGAGGGCAGACGGAGAGGGTCGGGTGAGGCCAGAGCTGGACGGATGGATGGCAGACAGGCGCGCGAGTGGGATCTTGGGTGGACGAGGCCAGGAGTGCAGGATGAAGGCTCAAGATGAACAGACTCAGATGACCAGCACAACAGATGGGCGAACATTCATTCACAAGCAGACGGACGGGTACATGCGTTCACAGTGGGAAGGTACGTGGAGGAATGGACCAGCAGGATCGGAGGTCAGAGATGGGTGGGCAGGCAGACAGGCTCTCGGGGGAGCTGAAACTGCACTTACAGCCCTCCACGCACAGGTGTGGTTGTTCCCCTGCCGGCAGCAGCGCTGGAACGCCCCCTCTAGCCGGGTCAGAACCTGCAGCTGCCTTTGGAGGGAGTCAGTAGGTGGGAGGTTGCGTGGCACAGAGCGGAAGCGTCTTAGGTGGCAGATGATCTTGATATTGTCCAGCGTTGGTACCCCAGGGGGGAAAGGCAGCTCGAGGCCCGATAAAATAACAGGCTGGAGGCTGGGGCAGTCCCGGAGCTTGTAGTGCGGCTGGGGAGCTTCCTCCTGGAAGCAGGAGAATCGAGCCTCCCCCTGCTTTTTGCAGCACCAGTGGGCTCGGGTCTTGACCGAGAACTCGGCCTCACAGAACCGGGTCATTGCGTCCTCCCACTAGAGCAAGAGGGGTGGATCAGCCTAGCAGCCCACTGTCCACTTTCCTGTCTTCCTCCCAGGCTCCAGAAAAGGACCCCGGGCACGTAGATAGGAAAGAAGCAGAGACTGTCTCTGCTCTCAGCACCAAAGACAGGACCTAAGGTTCCCGCATACCCAGGCCGAGGCCTAGTCTAGTCCTTAAAACACACACATACTGTGTGGGGTTCAAGGGACGCCCCAGGACCAAGAGCCCAACCCTTACCACAAGTTTTGCACAGTCCATGCGTTCTATGTAGCTGCGACAGCGGCAGCAGCGGGAGTATCCAGTCTCCAGCATATTGAGGGTCTCACCCTGGCGACTAAGGTGAGAGTAGCCAGACTGGGGCAGGTTCCACGGCCCGTACACCACATGCTGACGAGTGGGAAGGCAGATCTGGTCCAGATTGTCGGAAGAAGGCCGCCCAGGGGGGAAACCGTCCAGCCGGTGGCCCCAGCTCCCTTGGGATCGGCCCTGTTGGCAGTGTGAGGTTGGACTCAAAGACACGTGCCCTGGCTTCTCTAGAGTGGGGAAAACAGAGTGGGCAGGTGGGTCGTGCAGAGCGTAGAGAAAGGCCGGATGACTTGGAGGGTTGAAAGAAGTTGGGGTTGAGGAGGAGGGATTGGAAGGATATGGGGAAAGAGGAAGAAATGGACCGTGACTCACTTTCAGACTGAGGGGCTGAAAGGAAATGAGAACTGAGGCCCGCAGGGTGTCCCCCCCGATAGTCCCCCTAAGTCAGCCCCACTCCCTGTGCTGCTTCCCGAGGCCCGGGCTCCCTGCACCCAGCCCAGGCGGTCCTGGGCCCTGAAGCAGGGGTCACAGACCGGAGCTGTCACTCACCCTCCTTCTGGTTGATCGTTTCCTCCTGTTGTGGCACATGTGAGTCTACTGGGGGGAAGAAGATGCAAAAGCAACAATCACGTCGGGGTGGCTCTCTCTAAAAGACGGGGTCCTGGCCAGCTCCCATGCATGGAGAGGAACTCAACAAAGAAGTGAAAATAAATGCTACTTTTATGCCATTTAATCTCATAACTTTGTAAAATAGGTATGATTGCCCCTGTTTTACAGAGGAAGAAGCTAAGGCTTAGAGATGTAACTTACCCAAGTTTACACAGCTGGTAAGTGGCACAGCCCCCAAAGCCAGGGGCAGGCGGGAGGGTGAAGGGGAGAGGGAGTCACTTACCTTCCTTCTGTTCAATAGGGAGCTGGGAGGAGGGCAGCTCTTCTTGCACAGGGATGGCTTTCTGCGGGAGAGAGGGATCCGCTGCATGGCTTTCCGAGAGGGAGAAGGATCCTGAGGGCGAGGACAGCAAGGAGCACGGGTCAGGCCGATGTCGGCAAGATCACGGTGGGCGGCAGGCCAGGGGCCGGCGAGCACTCACCTGCTTCCAGAAGGAGCTGGGGAGAAAACAGCTCCTCCACTTGGGCAAAGCCATCTTCCAGAGAGGGAGGGGGCGGCACTATAGAAGGGCAGTGTGTGAATAGCCCACTTCCTCTGGCCAGGTGAGGAGAGGGCACAGGGACTTCTTTTCCTCCCCCACCTCAAGACAGGGGGACGAAAGCCAGACTAGAACCCTGGAGGGGGGACAGGAGGGACTTACCTTCACTCTTTTCCTCAAAGTGAGGGCCATGCTCAGCGGTGTCAGGGTGGTCCACGGGGTGGGCTCGTGTCAGGGGTGGGGAAGGGGGTGCTGCATAGCCAACTAGGGGCAAGAGGGGAGATGGTCAGAGCCTGCAGTTCCTGCCCGACCCCCAATCCCATGCCACTTCCCCAGACTCTTACCTTCCTGAAGGTACTCTGGCCCCAGCTCCCTCTGGCCTGAAGTCTTGAAACCTGGAGCGAGGAAGGGTGAGTCAGGGTGGTTGTGAGAGGCCCCTTCCTGGCCCTGCGCACAAAGTGGGGAGGCACTAGAGGTCAAGAGTGCAGGGAAGACAAGCAAGACACCAGAAGCCCCTCGGTATGGCCCCTACCCCATGGCCCCTAGTCCACCCCCCGCCCCAAACACACCTAGCCGTGAATCACTGGGTTCCGGCCTCTACCGGGCTCAAAGCCTCGGGTCTCCCAAGTCTGAGTCTAAAGGGAATGGGAGACACGGGCCTGGGGAGGAAGGACCTGACCTGCGTCCCTGTCGGCCCCTTAGGACGCCTGGGCTCTCCTCCCCACAGCCTCTCTGCTGTGACGCTTCCCTAGCCTTCGGAGGAGGAGGTCTGAACCTCGAACTGATGGGGGCCTCACCTGTCCACTTCTCCCACCTCCCCTCCCACTCCAAGCCCTTTACTCATCTCTGGGCCTTCTGATAAGGAACTGCCCAGAAAGTCAAGTGCCTCCTTCCCCTTTAACTAGTCCTAGATGCTGCTTAGTTTGGGTCTCAGTTTAGGATCGGGAGGCTGCGGTGATTCAGGACTGGGGCAAACCACTCCTCAGCCCGGGCAAAGGAATCACTTGTCACAGGGACTAGGACTTAGGATGGACGGCACGATGCAGCTTTACAGGGATCCAGGCTAGACGTAGGATGCTCTCTGGTTTCCCTCAGTAGCGTTTTGTTCAGCATCCATGCAGAGAGTGCACTGGGTGGAAGGTGGCTCTGACTAGTCCCCTACCCAGGCAGGGGGTCTGTCAGGACGGTCAGCAAAGGGCTGTGAGCAGCAGGGACCCCTGTTTCCCCGGCCCCTGCCTAACAGGTCCCACATTCTCCTCCTTCAGGCAGGGCCCTTCTCTGACACAGTCCACCTCCCCGCCCCGCCCCGCCCCAGGAGTCGTCCTTTGACTCTAATTTTGTGTTTCTTGGCAGCAATCACTAGGAATGATCTCTAGCAGCAGCAGTCTCCAGACGTCTATTTCTGTGCTCCTGAGCCCCCTCCCTGTCAAAGGCTTCAGTGCACGGGCCCACCTGGAGCCTGCTCAAAGGCAGGACCAAACGGAGAATCAACCTGCTGGTGATGAGCCATCTAGGATGGCTGGACTCAGGCCCCAGGCCCATGCTGGCGGGGACCCCCCCACAAGTGCTGACTCCAACCCCAACTCACCTCCCTCAGAGGCTAGAAGAGCAACAGCCAAACAGGCCAAGACCAAGGCTGCTCCGGACATGGTCCCCATCCTGGGGCAGACTGGTCAGTGGCCACCCGGGAGGTGAGTCCTGTCAGGCAGATCTGGACGGGAGGGCTGGACTGCTGGGAGCCTGGTTCTCTGGTTGCTGCTGCTGCTGTAGAGAACTTCAGGGCCAGCTCGGTCCTTTTATCTGGGAACAGCTCCCGCCCTCCTCAGCTTCCTGCTGTGACTCAGTCCCAGCTGCTCCTCCTCTGGCAGCCACTCCTCCCAAACTCACCCTGAGGCATCCTGAGAGGATTGAGAAGAATGGGGGTAATGAGAAGAGGGCATTTTTATGACCCCAAGAGAAACAGATTCTGAGATATGGTTCAAGAGGTGTTTGGGAGCTTACTCTATGCCTCAGTTTCTCCATTTGCACGTGGAGGAGGGGCTCTGACAACCTGCCGAATCGTGGTTGGGGAAATGGGGCACTGAGTTTGGGGTCGGGACAGGACAGCTATCCCAGGGGCTCCCCGAGCGGCAAGAGGCCTGGGCTGCCCGTTTCCTTACTTTTTAAAAAAGCATGTATTGGTTTCAGAGAAACATCAATTTGTTGTTCCATTTATTTATGCATTCATTGGTTGATTCTTATATGTGCCCTGAGCAGGGATGGAACCCATAACCTTGGGGTAACCTGAATGTACTGGGAAGATGCTCTAACCAACTGAGCTACCCAGCCAGGGCCTGGGCTGCCCTCTTCAATTTCCCCAACACCTTGGGACAAAAGAGGGAGGCGGACTTTTTACCTCTGATCCCATCAGCAGCCAGAGATGAAGACACAACCCCAGCAGTTTCAAGTTTATTATTTTTAGTCTCACTGTCCTCCCATGCAAAGAGCCACAGCTTCCTCCAGACCCGATTCTTTCTAGGGGAGTAGATTCACGCCTCCACACGAGTTCCAAAGGGTCTGGGGACTCTGGACTCTGTCAGTTAGGTTGGCCTCTGCCGTGTTCAGAGGCTGGTGGCTCCGGCAGACCTCTGTCTCTGCAGCATACAAAAGCTCAGAACATTTCTTCAGCATTTGGGACCCTGGCGTTCTGTAGCTCCACCAGCCGCCCTACAGCCTCCTCCAAGTCCCGTTCTCCAAGTCGCCGATTATCTCGGGTCCGAATGTTCACTGTTCTCTTGCTCTGCTCTTTCTGGCCAACCACTGCAAGAAAGGGGGAGGTTTGGGTACCTCCACGTAAGCGCTCTCCCTCTGCTATGCAGAAATTGAAGAGATCTAAATCTTTGGAAAGGGTGAGAGCTAAGCCCAGATATGGTTGAGGGAAGGATATATTTAGCTGTCTCTTGCCCTTCAGTTCCCTGCTCTTGCTGAGGAGATAAGAAAATGTTCCAGACATTCTCCTATATGCCTTATCACTTCTAGTCAGGAGCCCAGGGTCAGAGATAGTAGGGTCAGCCAGAGAAAGACCACAGGGGTCAAGGAGCAGACCCAGAGAGAATCGCGTGTGTGCAGGTCAGAGGGACGGGAGGTGGCGGGGTGCACGGCCCACGAGGCAGCCTGCTCTCGGTGCTGGCAGCGCAGCGCGAGTGGGTGAGTGGGTGTGAAACTGGAGAATCAGGTCATCTGGCTGAGGAGTTTCTGCTCCTTGCTTTCAGGACAGAGCTCTGAGCCTTGGAGAACGAAAAAAGGGACAGGCAGGGCTACCTTTTCTCCTTACCTTTCTCCTCCTCCGTAGGGCTGACTAGCCTATGTCTAGAATAAACAGAGCTAACTAATTGATGCCTTGTTAACCCTTCCTGCCCCTTTCCCTCTGATGCTCCCTTGGTTAATTAGCCTAACAGACACCACAGGCTATAGGAAGGGTCAGAAGAAACTGTTCTGAGGGTCACGGGCAGCTGTAGCGGCGAAGAAACCTGGGGCCCAAATGGCTCAGGCATCCTGAATCCTGGCTCCTGTCCAGCTCAGGAATGGAGCCCCAACTGGGCCAAATACGAAGATGACTAAACTTAATAAATAGGAAAGAACAGTGTATGGGGCAGGTGCCTGACCTGGTCTCTTACCAAACTGAAAATTGTAGCTGGTGAGCTGAGCCCGGCGGACTCTCCGGCTGAGGGTCAGTTTGGGGTCAGCGTCCAGGTCACCAACCAGTCCTGCAGCCCACAGGCTCTGCTGTGCCTGGGACAGAGGTTTGGTGACAGCAACTTAATTTAATGGAAGGCTGAGGAGCTAGAACAGTCTGATGCCAAACTTCCCCAAGCCCCCACATGGTCCTCCTTCCTGTGCCTCAAGGCTGACCAGCCCACACGGAGGACCCTCCTCCTCGTCTCTCTGCAGAGGCCCTGCCCTGGCCCCCTGCAGCCCCTCTGTCTGCCTCCTCCTGCAGCCCCACCTGCCAGTCATCCCCTCGACTGCCTGCTTCTAGCCACCACTGGACCCACCAGCTGCTCGTCTCGGGGACAGCCCATATCCTCACTTCTGTCTAGAGACGAAAAATAAAACCAACATTTATCCACACCGCCTTCTGTGCCAAGTGCTCTGTTGTCAGCATTTCATGTATGTGGACTTAATCTGCATACATTGCTCTGGCTGGTGTGGCTCAGTGGATTGGGCTCGGGCCTGTGGACCGAAAGGTCACCAGTTCGATTCCCAGGCAGGGCACATGCCTGGGTGGCTGGGGGTGTGGGAGAGGCAACCAACTGATATTTCCCTCACACATTGCTGTTTCTCTCCCTCTCTTTCCTTGTCTCTGAAAATAAATACAACCTTTTAAAAAATGATTTTTTTCACACATCCCCACAAGGCAGGGATAGTTTCATTCCTCAGATGTGAACTTTCCAGCACACAGGCCGGCAGCCATCCGCGCCCAGTCTCCCGGTTCCTACTGCTGTGCCCACTGTGCTGCCCCGGGGGTCGCTTCCCATCCTATCCATTAGCCTCGCTTCAGCCCTGTCCTTACCCCCAGCTCCTCACCTCCCGGGCATATTCCTCTTGCTCGGTCCCCACAGGGATGACCATCACCTGGAATGGGGACAGCCACAGTGGCCTGGTTGCGAGAGAAGAGGGAAGGGAAAATTACTTATTCTGGCTCTGGCTTTGAGTGTGGCTGCAGCAAGCAGAATCAAGCAGGAGACAGAAGCTGCACTCTGAAGGGGCCAGGCCCTGGGGCATGCACTATGCGGCTGGAGGGTCAGGGAGAAGTCTGGAGCCGGAGGTCTCACCATTTCCCGCCACAGCTCTCCGCCAGCACCCCCAGCATCCTTTCCACAGAGCCCAGCACTGCTCGGTGAATGAGCACTGGACGCTCCAGGGCCCCCGCCTGCCTTGGAGGGAAAAGGGAGGTGGATGGAATGGAGGAAGCGGCACAAATTGTGTAACCAAGATCACCCTCCAGTTTTTAGAAATATGCAGGCCCAGAAGGGGAGGGTGTGGAGAATTTGGTATTTTTAGGGTCAAAGGTAGAATGGGAGGTTGTTCTCCACCTATTCCACGGGCAGCCAAGGGAAAGGGGATGGGCAGGCCCTGTACCCCTTGTACTGGAGGTCAAATCTCAGGGGCAGCTGGAAGTCAAGCTGGATTGTCCCGCACTGATGGGGCCGACCCAGGGCGTCGCGGACGTGCACGTCAATCTGGGGAGACACAGAAGGCATGGCAGACCCCGGACCCAGCATCCACCATTGTCTGTGCCACCCCCGTTCCCACCTACCCGTGTCCCAGGCTGCTCGGAGAGACATGTCACCCAGCTGTATCATGCTCTACTCACCCACTGGCGACTCTGGCAGCCAGTCTCCGTGGCTCCTTCCACTTATTGTGGTGTTATAATATTAGAGGACACCGACATTCACACGAATGACCCATCCCTACCCTGGCTTCTCATTTCCTTGAGCCCCTCATCTCAGAGACCTTCGTCCACACACGCACTACAGCCCCACCCCCCACGTCCCGTCACTGCCCGGAAAGGCCGCACCTCTGCAACGGCCCACCCGGCTCTGACCGCCAACTCTCGGTTTTCTAGCACTGATGATGATTCCTTTTAAAAACACTTCAATGTCCAGGTTCCTCGATTCCTCTTTTCCTTCCCACTTACAGACCCCTCCTGCCTTTGACTCCTCCCCACACAGCTGTCCCTGCTCGTTCTTCCTCTGTCACATCCACGTGGTGGAACCCCACCCTGATGGTGCCCGCCCTTCCATCTCCGGGGCACCGAAACACAACCGCTCGGCGCTGCCCAACGCGGCACGCCCAACGCAGCACACCCCGCGCAGGTGCAAAACCAGGGACCGATGCCACCATGCAAGTCACTGCCTTGTACCTCAGGCAAGTCGGCTGGACCCTGCTGCTGCCCCAGGCCTCCAGCTGCCTTGGTCAGCTGGGCGCTGTTCTCCTTCAGGAGTTTCAAGCTTTCTCCTCTCTCTTCTCATTTCCGCCCCCCTCCCAAACTCTCCTCTCCCCCATTCCCATTGCACCAAATGATCCTCTTCCCCATTTCATGGAAAACCCAGGTAATTAGTATCATGAGATGGGAAAATGTCTCAACTTCTATCTCCACACCTATGAACTTCCCAGAATCTACTTCCAGACTTTCTTTCTGCCCCCAAAACAACGGCAAAGGTTACCCCTCTGGTCGGGTGGAGGGCCCTCCATCCCACCCTTCGCGCCTCCCCAGGAACTTCCCCTAAACTTCAACTTCTCCCTGACCCAAACAGGCGCCCTCTCAGCGCAGCATTCACACATTCTCAAGTCTCGCCTCTGACTACTCAGGCCCCAGTAACTCTCTTCTGCCTCATTCATTCACTTCTGACTCCACCCCCAGTCTCCACTTTACCAAAAATGGTCCTGCAAAACCCAAGAGCCTCGAGCTCCGCCTTCACCCTGGTCTTTCTGGACACCCAGCTTTGCTCTTTTCTGTGCTGGACAGTGTCCCCCTGGGGCAGGCCCAGCCCAGTTCATGACGATAAACTGGACATGGCCGTGTGGCTCTCTCCTCATCCACAGTTTACTGCTCTGCTTTCTTGGCTCTGCCTTTTCTTGGGGTGCATGAAGCATCAAGCTTTTACCAATGTGCTTTGTTGGCCAGTGCTCTTACCAGCAGTGCTTCGAGCCTGCACCAAAGGCTGCCGCCCCTCCAGGAAGGCAGAACGCTCTGGCCCCAGGTTTGTTACAGGGCAGCTGCCACTACCTGTTGTGTCCTCTCC